CTAGGACCATCATAGTAAGGGGAGGAAATATAACAGAACTAGAGGATAGTTATGTGTTTCATCAGTGCTGTACTGCACCCTGAATATATTATCCCTTCCGTGTGGCCCTTCTGTGAGAGATAGTCCAATTATCTTACAGGTGTGTTTGAGTTTCCATGTTGACTAAGCTTCTTAATGTCAATTTGATTGTTTTTGAACTTCTGATACCTATTCTCATTGACACACAGAATTGGTAGGTTTGACCATTTTATTTTTCATTATTTTGCTGATCATTTGCTCCTCCTTGAAATATCATGCTGATAATTTTTCCAAAATGTAGAAGGTTATAATGTACATGGGTTACAATCAGGATATTTAATAAATTTCTTTTGTTTGGAGGCAAGCATATACATTTCTACATAAGCCCATGGGTCCAGTGATTTCCCTCCAGGTAGTATTACCGAGGGAAAATGTGTGATGGTAGTTTCATCTTGAAAATCAAGATGCTGAAAAGATATTATCTTGGAAAAATTTGATTCTGTAAGTCATTCATTGTGGGTTGGGTGGTGAAAAAGGGGGTACTGAGTTCCAAATTAATGGTGAACCCTCTTGTGGCACGGGAGAATACTGCTGGGCCAGACAGAAACTCTTCCTTCAAGGATCTCTGGGAGGGAACAAAAAGATGTGTACCAAATTACCAGTCTGATTTCAGGCAGTGATGATGTTATGAATTTTAGAAATGTAGAGTAAGTGGAAAGGGAGGGGTGAGAATGGGCTGATGTTGGTATTTTTGATCCAATGATATGATGACACATGACAAGTGCAGGAGGACCTATGTGAAAACGTGGGGAGACAACATTCTATGGAGAAGAAAAAAATGTGAAAGTCTGATACAGCTATGAGCTTGGCAGAATCAAGAGTATTCAGCTACAAGGAGCTTTATTGCAAGAAGAACTGTGGTTGAGTAACGTAAGAGGATGCTTGGAAATAAATTTACATGGACATGCCTTACTGGAGTGCAGAATCAGTTTAAAGGTTAACTGTTCCTTACTGAGTTTAGAACATTTGATATTCATAAAGGAGCAAATTGTAGAATGGAAAATAAATCCATCTGGTAGCTTGGAGGTCAGATTCTTCATGTCTAATCCCAACTGCTCTTAGGAAATAAATAAACTGTTCATGAAATAAATGCGTAATGAGTACTCATTCAACCTTTTCAGAGATTTGTAGAACTAAATTTATGTGTACCATCAACATTGGTTGGAAAACACGTAACTGAAATGTATGACTTCTCTTCCACAATAATGAATGGCTGAAGTTTTTCACCAAACAAGAACATTTAGTTCTGAAACATATTTCACTGATAAACTATCTAGGTTTCATGTCTTAATAGTTTTGCCGACTTTTGAGTTTCATTATTACTTAATGAAACAAAATAGAAACTAAGCTGAAAATAATTGGACTCTCCTGTAATTTTAATGTCATCAAACATTAACAAGAGAACAACTTTCTCTATTAAAATGTGCTATTCAGGGCAACATGTTGTGCAACCGTTTTATAACTACAAAGTCCCAATGGCTATTGCAATTTGATTTAAAATTCGATATGAATCTTATAAATTGAAGATGCTTCCCCTTGCAGTTTTTCCCTTGAGACAAGCAGACTAACAGAAAATGGCTATGGAATCTAGTTCCGGGCTGAGTGTCAGTAATGTAGAGCCAGGAGTCCATGGTCACAGGGACATGCACAGTGCAATGTCTGTGCTCTCTGGATTCCATAAACTTGAAAAGGAAGCAATGAAAACCTAAATGGGCTGAACTGTTTGAAGGGGGGAAAAGTTATTCGAAATGTGAAGAAACTTTAAGTAACTGAAGTTGAAGTGACGTTTTTGCCTATCTTACAAACTTGGCAGCATATACTAAGCAGGATAGCAATGCAAGGGTTCTTCTGTGCACTCGACTTTGAGAAGCAAAACTGTGGCCATTTATAGTCAGCCTGGTGGTTTGAAACATTTATTGAAAAAGTGGTTACCTGAGTTTGACTTATTTCAAAGTAATTTTCTCATCTGCAAGTGTTTTTACAATTTCATTTCCAAGAAACGTAGAGAAATCACACCTTTTATTCTGAATAGAAGATGCAGTGATAGACTCATAAAGAAAATGGGAACTTCTACAGAATGTAGACATGACTTTCACATAGCAGACTTCAAAACAGAAAGATTGGTAATCTGTTTTTTGTTTTGTAAATTCTTTTAAAATTTTATAAAATCATTTTATTGGGAGCTCTTACAGATATTATAGCAACCCACAATTCAATTAAATCAAGCATAATTGTATAATTGGTACCGCCATCATTTTAAAAACATTTTCTTTCTTCTTGAACTCTTTGATATCAGTTTCCCTTTTATCCCCTCCCTCACCCCGCCTATCCCCCAGGAACCCTTATTATTATAGTTATTTTCCCCCTATCTTACACCATCCAATATTTATTCCCCTTGAGTGGGCTTATACATTCATCACTGCTATCAGTTCCTCTTTCTTCCACCCACCCCCCTTCCTGTACCCTTAGGAATCATTACTCCCATTACTGTTTCTGAAGGGTTAATTTATCTTGGATTTCATGCATCAAATGATCTTAATTATACAAATAAACATACAAAATTAATGAGGTAAA